GAGAGAGAGAGAGAGAGAGAGAGAGAGAGAGAGAGAGAGAGAGAGAGAGAGAGAGAGAGAGATTGACTCCTCGATTTGGACAATTGACATTTGGAATGTTATCATCTGCCTGTTTTTGGTTGATCTTGTCCTGTTTTTGAATCTTCTTCTTCTTCTTCTTATGTGGTAACACACCCATTACCCCCCCCCCCCTGAGACGTTGACTCTTCAATTCGGACAATTGACATTTCGAATGTTGTCATCTGCCTGTTTTTGGTTGCTCCTTTATTCTTCTTCTTCTTCTTTTTCTTCTTCCTGTTTTTAAATCTTCTTCTTCTTCTTCTTCTTCTTCTTCTTCTTCTTCTTCGTCGTCGTCGTCTTCTATAAAATAATCAAAATAAATAGGATAAAAAATAGAATCTAAGAGAATATAACGAAATAAAATAATTTATAATATGTATGTTTATAAATATCTTCTAATGTAGTTAAATTAAATCTATACAATATAACTAATTGAATATGACTCATTTCTCAATTGCATTTAATTAGCTTTAATTGGGAATCTAAATTCAATTATTTCATTTATTTGGAATCTTGTATAATTTCCTTATATATATAATTGTATTTCTTTTATATACTTTTGTAACACACCCATCACCCCACCTCCACTGTCAAAGCGCCGCCCACCCCCCCACCCCACCCCCACCCCCACCCCAACTGAACAGCCGTCGTTAAAAAGTTTCTTTGTGGTTTTGGGGTCCTCTAGCTAAGTGCAGCAAGACACCGGTTCCCCCCCCTAAAAAAACAAAATTTGGCCAGTTTTGTCAACCACCTGGCAAAACCAGGCAGAACCCCTTCCCGGCCCGCCCCACACAGCTCCCCCCGGCCGGGCACTCCCAGCCGCACGGCAGCCCAGCCCAGGTTTTCGCCGATATGCCAAGGGAGGCTACAATTTCCAATCACCTGGGGGTTCAGTGCAGTAGCAGGATCTGTTAAGGTAGGATCAGGGGATTCGTTCACAGCAGTTCTGCTCTCAACCTGGGCTCTAGATAGACTCAGCAGAGTCGGCAACCCAGCTTCATTCCTTTTCTTTTGCCCTCGACATTGTCATATTTTTTCTCTTCAACGCAGACTGTCTTTAGCGCAGCATATAAGTTCTTGTTTCCAGCTCAGCATATAAACCTTTGCTCCAGCTCAGAGTATTTTCTCCCAATCAGTGCATGGCAGGGAGTTGGGAAACAGAAGTTCCGTACTGCTCTAGGCACCAAAGTGTATCTAATGGCCCAGTAGCGGAGAGGAGCAAGTGTGAGATGGACTCCCAATTAGCAGTACCATCATAAGTCCAGTAGAGTCAAGGTCCCTGGAGTCATCCAACTTCATCAGTAAGTCAATGGGGCCAGATTAGGGAGGGGTGAGGGGTGGTATATCCTTCCCAGGAAAAGTAATCAATGCCGTCCACTTGGGCCTCCCAACCATCATAATGGGGAGGAGCGCTGGGTGCGTACATGCGTACATAACGTACTTTCTTTTTACTTGCCGGTGGAATAGGAACGGGACTGATGCTCCCCAGAAGGGATATGGAGCCAGAACCGTAGGGTTCTGTTTGTTTGTTTGTTTGTTTTTTCTTTATAAGAGTAGAAAAATGGAGTAGACTAGGAGTAGAGTAGAAGTAGAGGTAGAGTGAGTATACTCGAATAAAGTACAACAAATCTGAACAAAATAGAATTGTAAATTTGTAATAGAATCGCATGCTCTTCAGCTTGTTGGCTGCATTCAGGTGGAAGACTTGACTAGCCATCAGTGGGTTGTCGAGCCCCAGCCCCCAGGCCCC